CTACCATGCCCAGATAAATTTTGATTTATTGTAGAGATGAGGTCTCGCCAAGTTGCCCAGGCGGGTCTCGAACCCGTGGGCTCAGGCAATCCACTCACCTCAGCCTCCCAAAGGCGCGGGATTGCAGGCTGAGCCACCGAGCCTGGCTTCCACTTTTTAATATTTAAAAATGTTTTCCATCTGCACATGTTACCTCCAATCATGACTTCTTTCACTGCCTGTGATGAGAACACATGTTTCTGAGTCACTGGAATAAGCCTGCCAGCCCAATCAGTGACCCTTCTTTCCTTTCATTTCCCCCCAGTTGCTGGCAAACACCCTGCTGTTACTGCCATGAGAGCCATTATGGAAAAAATAGAAAAAATAAACTTAGTGCCTGTAGAAAACCTTGGTGCAGAGGAGGGGGTGGGGGAAAAGGGGTTACGTGGGAAGCTGCAGGGGAATGTGCCCTGGTGGGAACTTTGAGGATTACCTAGTTTAAATCTCTGCTTTCTCCCTTAAAGCTGTGTGACCCAGGGCAAGTAATTTTTTTTTTTTTTTTTTTTTTTTTTGAGTTGGAGTCTCACTCTGTCGCCCAGACTGGAGTGCAGTGGCCGCTCCCGACCACCGCAGCCTCGACCTGCTGGGCTCCGGCGATCCTTCCACCTCAGCCTTCCGAGTAGCCGGAATTACAGGCATGCGCTACCACGCCTGGCTGATTTTTTGATTTATTGTAGAGATGAGGTCTTGCTGCCCAGGCGGGTCTCGAACCCACGGGCTCAGGCAATTCGCTCACCTCAGCCTCCCAAAGGCACGGGATTACAGGCTGAGCCACCGAGCCCGGCTGGGGGCAAGTTATTTAACCTCTCCAGGCCTAATTCCTCACCTGAAACAGATGAATTGTGATTAAGTGGATGACTGGGTGTGGTGACTCACACCTGTAATCCCAGGAATTTGGGGGGCTGAGATGAGAGGATCACATGAGCCTAGGAGTTTGAGATCACCCTGGGTAACATAGCAAGACCTCATCTCTATAGAAAGTAAATAAATGAGCTAGTAATGGAGGCGCACGCTTATCATCTCAGTCACTTGGAAAGCTGAGGCGGAAGGATCATGAATCCAGGAGTTCGAGGCTGTGGTGAGCCTTGATCGGGGCACAGCACTCCAGGGTGACAGCGAGACCCTTACTCTAAATAAAGGGTTTTTGAGAGACAGGATTAGTGGCTTCTGCTGTTCTTTAGGTTTAATTTTTTTTTTTTTTG